CATAATAATAATTATAGTTAAATTAAAAATTAAGCATTGGCAAGCTTTCGGCTTGAGGAGTCATAGGACCTCCCTCAGTTGTATTTCAGAGCTGTCAATATAATATTATAATGGGTTGTAATAAGACTGAGCAACAACTAAACATTAATTAAGCAGAGCCCGAAAGTCAAGTTTGGTAATAAAAATTAACAGAGTTGGGCTTCAACTGAACAAACTGATGTAAGAATACCAAATAGTCGATAGAAATTGTAGCTTTCTGCACGCTCCATAAACGCAATAGATACTAAGCCCTTTACATACATCAGTTCTGCCCGAGTTTGCCGTTCTATTGAGCTCTTGTTATCCTTACTATATCAATAGAGGAACAGACGCAGGCATTGGCAATCACAACTTGCCGATTTATAGGCAGCGCGCATAAAGCTTGAATTTTTAATGGTTATTTATAAAAATGTAGTTGTTATTTTCAGCCATAAACATTTCGTCGAGTTTACGAGCCGGGCACATAATGCGAAGCACTCAAATTAACAGCTGTGAACGGGGCTCGAGTGTGGGTGGGTGAGGCTTGTGTGACAACATGTGCTGTCGTTGCGCGGCCGGGGGGTGGGGGGCGTTGGGTTTGTCCTTCGAATTCATGAGCTTTGCACACAGTTAGTCGGCTGTGCGACATAAAGTATATTTTGATTATTTGTTGAGTCAAAAGCTCAACATTTCAGACGGGCAGCGGCCACTGCTTCGGCAGCTGCTTCGTCCTGGGCAGCAGGCGGGAAATTCCATCATTTGCATTTCAAATGCGCTGCTCTGCCAGGATCTGGAAGGCTAGCAACGACTGCAAATGCCACAAATGGCGTGTTAACACAACAAAGAGGTAATAACAATAGGCTTCCCGCTATCTGTATCTATATGTGTGTGCGTGTGTGTGCGTGTATAACATTCCTGTAGTCAGTGAGCGAGGATCTGTTACCACATTCCCGTCTTCACTTTGTAAACATTTTTACTAGCCGGCGCTGCTGCTGCTCCTGCTGCTGCTGCTGCTGCTCCTGCTGCTCCTGCCGCTGCTGCTGCTTTTTATACGGAAGCTGTGTCAATACACGATAAATTGAACTGTGCAAGAATTTATGTTGGCACTTTGTGAGGGCACACAAATTCCAGCAGCGGAGCTCCAGCGACTGGCCTCTCCATGGGTGCCGCCATACCTTGGCAGCCAGCTATGCGGGGGAATCGCCCTCGCATCCTCTGGGGACTTGAAAAGTTCAATAATATTTATTTATTTGTTACTTGCTCTTTGACAAAAGCACACAAGATTAAGACCAAAGCCCTATATATCACGCCTTTCGCATATTGGGTCAGATTTAATGGCGTTGCGTAGTTTCATTGTCACACACACAGATAGAGGCAGGGGCAAAGCTGCCTCCTTGTGGCAGGACACGCAGTAAATTAAACGGGCAGACAAAGAATTCAGCGGCCCGAAATGCTAAGTTAATTTAAGGCGCCACTCTAAACTGGTCTGGGCTTTGATTTAGAGTGCCACAATTTGTACAAGCCAATGGCAAAAGCCCCAAAAAGAATATTGAGCATCGATAGGACTCGCAGCGAACAGCCATAGCCGGTGGCCAAATCTAATCTGTTGAGCTTGAACTTGATTTAAGACCAACCTAGCTCAGACCCGAAAATACAGCTGTAAATGCAGCAGGAGCAAAGTTACTGAATTGGTGGCCACAGGGTTGGTATATATATATGTTATATAATATTTATTACAATATTTGTAATAAGATCTCAAGATTTCATATATTCTTTATTTAAATGTAAATTATAAATAATTTTACTAAATAATTTTCATTATAAACTTCCAAGTTTGAACTAAATTACATAAGAAGTTCGCTCCTACGCTCAGTTAATTTCAAATACAAATAATTTTAGCTCAACTCCTTGCTCAACTCGGTCTGGCCAAATATAGTTATATTAAGTAGGAAAGGCTTGTTTAATTTTCTGTAAGCTCACAAAGAACTGCTAAGCAGAAAGCAAATAAATTTGAAGTCTATTGTAAGCGCCATTTGGCCAGTGCTAAGGCGCGAAGGACATGCGCAGTGCGAGGAGCCGGCACAAGTGCTGAGGAGAAGCGTCGAAACAGACGGCGGAACGTGTGGCAAACGGAATGAAACAAGGGGCAAAGGCAAGCGTGTTGCTGGGGATGCTGGCAAGTGGAACAGCCATCTGGCCAACAGATAGCAGGCGCAGCGGGGCAGCACGAGTTTCCTGTCGCTGGCTGCACGCGACTCAGTTGAAAATTTGCATCCTTTGCGAGCGGACGTGACTCGCAGCGGGCGCCAGGACCAGAACGGATGTCAAATTGTCGCGGTCTCGAAACTCGTTCGTGGCAAGTCGTGCGAGCCGCCAATGTCTGGCCAAGCGCTTGTGTTTAGATGCGAGCTGAGGCGGCCAAGTGGGCCCCAAATAGGTGCAAGGCGTAAGGAATTGGCAGTTGCGAAGCTATTTTAAGGAACGAACTGAAGATTGTGTAGAGCTGTCACTGTGTGTGTGCTGGTGTGTGTGTGTGTGAGTGTCCCTTGCGTCTTGGCTGAGTCAGCGTGTTGGCTAAGCAAGTGCCGAAATCACTTTCCAAATTTGTTTGTTTCTCTTGTATTAAAATGGATATTAGAATGGGGAACTAAATGTGCAAAGCAACCCAGAAAAAAAAAACAAAAAAAAACAACAACGAAGTAAGGAGCTGCGGCCGCAATGTCGTAAAAAGGGATTATTGTGTATTATACGCCGGCACAGAATAAAAACTTGAATATTATTTTCGAGGCGGCGGCTCAAGCCATAAAGTGCAACTCAACTGTGAATAAGTTGCCTCACGTGCTAAGTCCGGCGAAGAAATGAAACATTAAAAATATCGTTTATCAAGCTGTGCGTGCAATGAGTGTGTGTGTGTAAAGCTGAAAACTTGTTAAACAGTGTCAGTGTGCCGCAAGTTTCCCAATCTCTTTGTGAACAACTTTCCACATAACTCACGGGAAAAGTAATGCTCACGCTAGTTTGGCATATGGTAGGTGAATATATATCGAACGAGCTCTTCTTTAACTTTTCTCAATTGGATGGTAATTTGAAAAATTTGCATGATTAATAGCGAGCAGATCTAAGGAAAAGTTCAAAAGTTTCAAATTATGCTAATCAAAGAGACAAGAAAAGAAAAAGAAAAACTATTTAGAAGCTAACCGAAATTTCAAATCGCATTTGTATTGATTGATTAGGTGAATGCTTTATCAAGTTATATATATATATTTATCTATTTGTATATATGCCTTGAATTTGCGCAGTTTGTTTCGAGAAATAGAATAAAAATTGCAACTGTAACTGGCACAAGGTAAAGCAATAGGAAAAGCAATGAAAGCGCGTGGCAACAAAATCAAAGAACGACGCAAGAGACATAAGTAAAAAAAATAAATAAATAAACAAAAAATAAATACATATATACATCTATATATATAAAGCAAGTTGCAATCCACTGAAAAGCAACGGAAGGAAGGCAACGAGAGCGTTTCCCGACTCCAGCGAATTAATTCAATAAACCTATTTATCTGGGACGGGCGGCTGCAGGGCGGCAGCGGCGTCTGGGGATAGACGCGCACATTTCGCATAAAATGCGAACAACTTTGACAGCCAACGGGGCGCACTGCAATCAGAATCAGAGGCCAGCGCCGTGCCGAACACTTGGAGACAATGCTCCGCCGCCAATGGTTCCGCAAACGAGTCCCCAATGGCGGCATTCGCCTGGCAGTGAGCGCACAAAAGCAGCTCTAAGTGTCATTGCTGCAAGCAACTGTGCCAGTGCCAGAACGGCCAGGGCGAGCGGACGGACGCACAGGACCAGCGCAAGGAAGCCACCAACGGCAAAGATGACAGTCTCCGACTCGGACGAATGTGCCGGACAACGGCGCCAATTTGTACGCACGGCCAAGACGTTGAGTTGGCAACGCATCTGGCTGACAGCTTGGCTCCCTCTGCTCCTGACTGCCCTCGACTCGGGGACACGTAAGTAAAGCTCGGGGCCAAATGTGGCTAAGGCTAAGACTATGGGTGTGACGGTGTCTGTCTGTGTGTGTGTGTGTGTGTTTCGATGTCTAGCTAAATCTGTTTTATTTAATTTAAATCCCCCACGGACCGGACCTACGACTTGATTTCGATTCGTTCGTCCTTGAACTTTGCGTGTCATATGCATGCAAAATTATAATTGAATATGTCGCATGCCGAAGCTCTCTCACTCTCCTCGTAGCATGATTTGTCCACAGTAATTGGTTTCGTTACAGGCAATATTTTGAAGCTAAAACTATATATGAAATCATCTGTCAATTTATGAATATGCAAGCTCTTTAATTCGTGCTCAACTGGGGCATATGGCTTAGGGCTGTTTATATGTAATTTAAAACTTAAATAACTTTCAAATATATAACAGAAATAATTTTATTCAATATATACATATTTT